GAAATAAATAAAAACACTTGAAAGACAACCATTTAAGAAAACAGAGCCTGATCTAAAAGTAATTACTAAACATTAGAGTGGCGTGTTGGCATCTTTATATTTTTATTTATTCTTAGTGTTTTCATTTCATCAACAGTTTCTATTAGCTCTCCATGTCTGAAACTGTATAAGAAGCTTCAACGGCAGTCATTGAATTTCTAGGCTGTAGTTTCCGAAGTTCCTGAAATCATCGTCAGATGTATAAGCAGAGATGAAGCTGCCTTGGCTGTCGCCCAAAAATCTTTTAAGGCTCTTTATGACAATGCATCAAGTATCTTTCACGTCAGTGCTAACCTAGCAAATCTTTAAAAATATTTAGCTATGTTTCTCCAGACAAATCTCTCATGGTTAAAGAACGGATAAAGCAATTATCTAAAGCCATAAACCTGGTGCAATCACCTCAGGCTCTCATGTGAAATTAAAGCCTTCGGAATCTGCAAGAAAAGAACCCATCCAAGCATATAACCTAAGAGGGGATATGTGAGGAAATTGCAAGAGATACAAACAAAAACACAATCTGGCAGCATCACAATCAACAAACGATTGGTAATCTTGTAATTTATAATGATGCAGCTGTTTTAAATAAGCGGGTGTGGACCATTATTGTAGTTTTAGACGTCAAACTGTAGATAAAACATAAGAAAAAGATCAAGTCTAACTTGAAGAAATATAAGCATGGGGATAACATTGACAGTGCTGAACTTCAAGATATCTAGATGATCATGTGATGTAAAGTTATTCAAGTACTATTATCTTTAACAACAATTTGTTCCATATATGTAAATTTAACAGAATGCATCAAGAGACTACTTACGTACCAAACTGTCTTCCCCGATAAAAGCTTATGCACCAGGTGGTTGCAGTCAGAATTGATAAGCATCACGCCCTTCACTCTGTCAAACAATAACTCGGAGTGAGATTCAAGTCCTAACATTTCTTTATTCTAAAAAAGTGAATATAGTAACCTTAGACAAAAACACACATGTAACTGTGAAAGCACAACCTGTTTTTTTTGTAAACAGAAAACATCAATTAAGCTGGAAACATAAAAGTGCAAGAGTAGATATGGACTTTGGTCACTAAGTACCTTGCTAAGAGATGAAATTTTCGCTCAATCATCTACAAAGCCTTCTCTACATCAAGGTAATGCACTCCTTTAGTGGGAAGAAGGCGGAGAACGGCGAAGAGATGTTGCTTCTTCATTTGTTTGAGGGAAGATCAGGCTTGAAGAAATGGAATCACCTGAATGAGGAGAAGGTGAAGGTGAATGGAAGGTAAAAGGATCTGAGATTTAAAGTGAAACAATTAAGGTTATGAATTTGTAACTTGAAGTGTTTCAATTGATTAGATGAGAAGACAAAGGGACTCGTGTTGTTTTGACCTTTTCTTTATGAATAGCTGCGTTTTGGCTTCATGGGACACGTGTCGTCATAAAATGGAAAGACTTATCTATTTGTCATCCTACGTAGACAGCTTAATAGGAGTGAAAATACTATTATCTATCTATCTATCTATAATAATAAAGTAAACTTGCCTGTCTCCACAATGAGCCACCTCAGCGTTGTCATAGGGGCTTCTTCTGCCACGTGGCAATCTCTTTTTTAAAACACCATTTCATCATTTGTTTTTTTAAAGCGTTTCGAATGGGCTGTCGTTAAACACTAAACTAAGAATTATACAGGCCGACAACATGTTTGGTCATTAACTTGAATTTGGCATTTGATTGGGCTCATCTAAATAAGTTACGATAGATAATCCCGTCCAATACAATTTGAACCGTCGTCTTTCTTCTACGCAGCTCTATGGTTAGAACAAAGTGGCCACCACGACTGTTAAGTTATTACACCGACAATCAATCGACCAGTAGTAACGCCTTTGCCATTCATTCAATACACTCATATCAGGATCGATCGCATTGACGGCCTTAAATATCTTCTGCATTCATTTGCTTACCCACTTCTCCATGGTAACGTAGCAAACCTACACCTATAAATATCGGTGTTGTCTCCGATGAAAATTGCCAATCCCACCAAAATTTTTGATATTGAAGCCCAAACATCTTCGTTGGCGCACACCTACTTCTCACGGACTTGAAAGCCGGCCGCAAATCCCGTGGAGGTCTGTGAGGCGCATAACGTGAAGAAAGAAGGAGAGCTCATTAGTGTCGACATGCTCTTCGTAGACGAGAAGGTAACGCTGGTGAGTATACACTGCCTTATTTTCTGATTAAACTGTTATGCTTTGGACACAAGCCTAATTTACTGTTGCTCTTTGGATTTAGGTGACGCTTATCCAAGGCTCAGCAATCGCAACCGCCTCGAGACATTTAGCCACATGTTCAATGAGGGTTCCATCTATTCGATAAGTTGGTTTGACCTTAACAACTTCAAACTCTCTGACCCCCCCTCCCCCATCCGCTTCAAAGATCTAACGTCGTTTGTTCAGTTAACTTATTCCTTTAACCCGATACTAGAAGAGCTTTTTAGTTAGCGCAACCACGACCAACTACTAGCTTTGGATGACACCAACACTCACTGCCTTGGTTTGTTTCTTTATTTTTGATCCTAACATACCTTTTTCAAACACCTCCACCTGTTCTTAAAGTCATCAATTTCTTATTTCTGCAGAGATTATTGGGGAGTTGACCACAATCAAGAGCACATTCAATGATGACATACAAGCCAACCTGCGTATAGTGGCAACCATGTGTGTTGAAAGAGAAGGTGTTTAAGGTGCGGATACATGTCATTTATCAGTGCATTGGTTCACACTCTCAAGCCGGTTCTTTAAGGAAGTGGTTTGTGAAATCTGTTTTATGTCAAAGAGAAGTATAAACAATGACATTCTAATTACTGAAGAATGAGCAATCTTTGTTAGAGCTTCTTCAAAAAGCATGCCAATTATATTTGTTCAATTATTATGTTAATATTTTTGTTAAGTCGATTTCATCTTTATGTATTAATTCCATTTGTGGAATCGAATGAGATGATCAGCGAAAAGGATTTTCCAGAATCGAACTCTTTGGCTTCCTGTATATTTATTTTGGTGTTTATCTAACAGAACTGAGGAAGAATAAGCATTCGATTTTGATCCTATTGGTTCCTGATTCGTGAATTTTCATTTTTCTTTCTTGGCTACTTTTAACATCAAGGAAGTTACGTAGAATAGAAGCAACAGTTGTAATTCACTGATTTGTCCACATCATTCGTTGGCTTCACCTCAATCTCTAATTAAAATATCCTTCGCTAAATAGTATTCGTTTTCATATGCAAAAAATATATTTGTTTTCATTATCAATTCCTTTAGTTTTCCTTTGGTATGAAAACTAATTATTATTCACCAAAGTTATTAGAACTACAGTATAACCTCTTTAAATTAATAATCTATAAATTAATATCTCTATAAATTAATATAATTTAATAGTCCCAAATTGAATTTTTGGTTTAATTAATATCTCGATAAATTAATAATCTCTACAAATTAATAAAAAAATTAGTTTTGGTGTAGTCCCAACATTATTAATTTATAGAGGTTTCACTGTATTCATATGTACCCGTTTACTAATTTTTAACAACATCAAATTATAAGATACTACGCATTTAGCAAAACAGACTATGGTCTATCATATTAATACAAATATACAAAAAAAAAATTATTAAGATTATTTAGAAGTCTATAACTAATTGAATCCTATATGGTAAAAAAATATTACATATTGCATTCTAGATTTAGTGGTTGATCACATGTTTATAGTGTTTATGTTTTAGATATCCCCTATATATTAATTGAGAAACATTTGAAAAGATGTAACCTCAAGTTTGTAATAATTAAAAAGTTATCTTGCTTAGTTGTCAATCAATTAGCACCAATTAAACTGACGTGGCAGTTTTAGGTTCAATTGAAATTTGTTAGGGAAACAATAATTACAGATGCATGTAACGTATGTAACCGAGTTTACATTAATATATATCTCACGCATCAAACCGAGTTTACATTAATATATCACACGCATTAATACATGACAAGGAAAAAAAGGAAAATATAAGAAATCATAATTATAGTAGGTAACTGAGAGATGTGACGATTAACTATAACTTCATTCCTTTTAATTTACGCAAGTGTATATGTAAAATGGAAAATACTTTGTGACCAAGTTCAAACTTAATGGTAAAGGCAAGTGTATATGTAAAATGAATAAACTTCTGTCAGTAATGTAAAACTTAATATGTTAACTTGGGAATTTATGGAAAAATTAATATATGCAAATCGTAAGTATCCCTTATATATTAAAGGAGACGTAAACTTTATTGTTTAATATGTTTATAACTATAATTATAATTTGTAAATAGCTAACAATTTATTACAACTGAGACTTCTTATTTTTATTTTTTGTTTTTTTAACAGTAACTAAATTGAAGTAAAAATTATAAATTTGATGGACAACAATTAGTTGAAATTTTTTACAACCTTTTTTTTTTAACTTTAAACAAACAGAATTGTGTTCAATCGAAGACATATTAGTTTGATGAACACTAAATATGGAAGAATATAAAAAATTTTCTTTCATGCTTATGTTTTGTTTTTTATTTTTATTTTCACAATTTAGTGTTTTGATATTAATTTTAGATTTGATCATTTTATTAGATGATAGAAGTCTTTTTTGTTTTTTTATTCTTTTATTTAAATATATAATATTTTTTTAATAAATGACTCTGTGACAATATGACTCTAAATATGATCATATTATATATTTGTATAATATATAATATGATCTCAAACTAAATAATTATGTTTTTTGGTATAAAATTGAATAAACTAAAAACCATTGGTATATAAACCAAATCAAACTGAAGTACATATAGAGTTAGAATAGTAGTTATATTTTAATAATCGAAATACCAAAAAATCGAGCCGAACCGAAACCCGATATCCGGATTGAACACCTCTAATCTGAATGAAACCAAACTATTGTTTCCTTTTTTAAAACATAATAAAAATAATAGCTTTATCCCGCGCGAGGTGCGGGTCTTATCCTAGTAGAATCTAATTGTGCAACATAGACAACATAGTCAATCTTATGATTCTTTGATTCTTGAATAAATAATCCAAACATGGAAAACATAATCAATCTACTCCTACATCGTCAACTCTTATGATTCTTTTATGTTTAGTTACAGTTTGGCTCATATTAGTTTTTTTGAATAAATGATTTGATACGAAGTGGTATGTAACTAAAGTAAAAACAAAACTTACAAAAATAAGGTGTTATGAAATGGAGTTCAACTAATAATTTAATAGCTTGGCTCATCCTTCGAAGTAACATGTTTTTTATTAGTTAATAAAATACTAATTTAAGAAAATATTTTAAATATCATGGGAAAAAAAACAAATAATTTTGTTATCAACTAGAGTTCACCAAAAGCTATAATAATTAATAAAACATAATCAGTAGAACACTAAGACTAATTGAAATTCCATTCAAAATATAATTATGTACTGGAACAAATATATTCTAAAACATCATTTTATATTAAATTAGAAAATACTAAATATTATTTTTGATATTGCTGAAACTATGTATATAGTATTTAAAAACTAAGTTTGATTATTCTATTAAACGTTATTATAATTTTTTGATTAAGTTTGGAATGAATTAATTTATTATCATGAAAAAACTAATTAGTGTAAAGATATTTAAACTTTAAAATTCTTGAAGTAAATTAATTTTTATTAATCTAAATTTTAGATATTATTTTCTTATGTCAAAGTAAAAAGAAAAGAAAAAAATAAACACCATTACATTTTTCTGAATCACTTTTGTTACTTTGTATACTATATACAAAACAGTGAATGTTACTATTATTTTTAATTGAAACCAAAAATGTTCAATTGGAAAAAACAATATGATCTCAGAATTCTGTCTATTATTTATTAGTATACAGTACCATATTTCTTTTAGAATAGTTTTTGTAGTGCTTCATAAAAATTTTAAAATCATATATAATAAATTTTAGTATATATTCCCGCCCGTAGGGCGGGCCAACCACTAGTATATAATAAAATATAAATATATGTCAACGGTAATAATAAAAGAATGTATTACTATAATATTTAATACATATGATTAGTATATATTGTAGTGTAGTTATAAACGTTATAACTACACTAGTATATTAACTAGATTATTAAGTGTATATTAACATAATAATATAGTCATTGGGTCAGTTTATTAATAGTTTGTTACTTATAACGTAATATATAACTATTATAAAATATTATTATTATAATTAAATCTAGTGTTTTTCATGCAACCGCGCGGGTATTTGTTTTCATTTATTTTTATATAAACATTTTTTTACTTCTAAATTGGTATATATTATATAAGGTGTGTATATCAAAAATGATGATTAATTATTATATCGAATAAATTAATTATATAACAATATGATCTCAGAATGAATATTATATAGTATAAATTGTTTTCATATTATATTATTAGTCATATTTAACCTAGACAACATCAATATTTAACACATTATATAAGAATAGACGCTATATTATACTAAATTATATAATAAAATTTTATTGGTAATAATAAAATAATAATATTAGATGTTTTATAATAATATTATTATAAGAATAGTTAATATAAAATAATATTATTATAGTAAGAATATTTGTAATGTTTTATAATAATATTATTATAAGAATAGTTAATATAAAAATAACAAAATTATCATTTTCTAAGAATAGTTTCTATATAATATAACTGTTAATATTTTAAAATAAATATTATATAATAATATTAATTAGTTAATATTACATTATATAAGAATAGACGCTATATTATAGTAAAATATACAACATCAATGTTTATTATAATACATTTAACACAGATTTAATATTAATTTTTTTTAATTTTCATATTATTAGTCACTATTTTACTATAAACGAAAACAATCATCCGCGCGGTTGCACGGATCAAAATGTTCCACAGATTCGCAAAATATGTACAATCTAGATTTTGATCCGCGCAACCGCGCGAGTTTTTGTTTTCGTTTATAGTTAGTTATATAAACATTTTATTTTCACTTGTAAATTGGTATATATTATAGTAATGATATGTATAGTAAATGTTTTTCAAACATAATAATATTATATAATAAGTGTTTTAGTCAAATAGATTGTTTCAAATTTTCTATATTATACATGTTTTTCAAACATGTGTTTGTTTCTTCTTCTATATTTTATTGTTTGTTAGATTAGTATTTCATTTTTAGATAAAGTAATATAAATACAGCTTGATTAAATATTAGTGTACTTTAATTTGCAAAGATAATATAAATTTCGAAGAAATTTTTGCTAAAAACTAAGCCTATAGCTTCATAAATTAATATTATAAGGAATTTTATAAACAATTTATTAAAAAAAAAAAAAAATTTAAAAAATTTACATCGAAATAAATTTATCTAATATATATAGCGTGTAAA